AAGCGCGTCGAGGCCTTCGACTGGGAGCGCGCCTACGCGGAGCACGCGCGCGACGACCCGCCCCTCCGCGACCGCAACGCGCCGCCGGCGCTGCCGCCGGGCCACCGCCGGGGGGACCACTACCTCGGCGCCCGCGCCGAGGACCGCTCCTTCGCCAAGGGGAGCCGCGCGGGCAAGGACTAGAGAGGAGGAGAGCCGGAGTCCATGCAGCCTGGAGTGCGCCTCCATGCAGGCTCACTTGCAGGCTCCATGCTGCCACCCACGAGCCCACAGTTGTGATTGGCCGAGCGCAATAATTTTGAGCTATGAGCCGCGGCGACAAGGCCTAGTGGACATTAGCCAAAGCATGGCCTCCGTCGAGCAAAAGGAGGCAGAAGACCTCGACCGCATCGACGCGGCCCTCGACGACACGTCGTCCGAGTCCGAGGACGACGCCCCGGCGCCGCGCCGCACGGCCTGCGACACGGTGAGCAACCTGGCGGACAACCGGCTCGTGCGCCTCCTCGCGGCGCCGCTGTCCCTCTTCGGCCGGCGCGGCGACGGCGCGGCCCAGGCGGCGCGGCTCGAGGCCGAGGCCGACGCGCACCGCGCGCGGCAGCGCGCCGCGTCCGCGGAGCGGGCCGAGGCGGCGGCCGCGGCCGAGGAGGCGGCCGCGCGCGGCGACGGCGCGCGGCTCCGGTGCGTGCAGGAGACCTACGAGCGGGCCCTGGCGGCCTGCAAGGCGGAGCACGAGGCGACGCTCCACGCGGAGCTCGCGGCGCTCGGTGCCGCGTGGACGAAGAAGGTCGACGACGCCGTGCGGAACCGCGAGCGCGTGCTGGACGCGGAACTCGACGCGGCGCGCGGCGAGGCCGGCGCCCTGCGGCGGGAGCGCGACGAGTTCCGGCGCCAGTGCCTGCGGGACGCGGAGATGCGGGGCGAGGCGGCCGTCGTCGAACTGAGGGCCGCGCACAGCCGCGAGACGATGAACCGGGCGAAGGAGCGCGAGGCGGCCGAGGCCGAGCTGCGCAAGGAGATCGGGCGCCACAAGCTCGAGACGGAGCGGGCCGTGGCGCTCGCGCTGGCCGCCGTCAAGGACGACCACGCCGCGGAGCTCAGGGCCTGCAAGGCGCGCTGCGACGCCGCGCTCGAGCGGGAGCGAGAAACGCTCCGGGCCGCCGACGCGAAGCGGCGCGCGGCGCTCGAGGCCGAGTTCGCGGACAAGGAGGAGGCCCTGGACCTGGACAAGGGCAACTTCGAGGCCGCGTGCAAGGACCGCCTCCGGCTCTCGGAGGCGGACCACGAGCACGCGGTGCACAAGCTGAGGCAGGAGCACATGCTCGCGCGCGGCGGCGCCGAGAAGGCCGCGGTCGCGGAGGCGCTCCGGAAGCGCGACGAGGCCCACGCGGCCGCGCTGCGGGACGCCGCATCGGCGACGGACGCCGCCGTCGCCGCGGCGACGGCGGAGCTGGAGAAGGCCCACGCCGCGGCGCTCGACGAGGCCCGCCGGGACGCCGAGGCCGACGTCGCCGACGCGCTGAAGAACGCGTCCGCGACCGTCGCCGACGTCACGCGCGCCCACCAGTCGAAGCTCGCGGACGTCGAGCGCGCGCACGCGGCCGC